TTCTATCAATGGGAATACAAGATTAACTGTATTACCTCCATTGGTAGTACGCTATAGTGCTGTGCAGACCGTGGCACAGCTTCAAACCAAGCCATGCAGCCTCTGCCATAGATGCAACGTCAATAAGGACGGCTTACCTATATGCACGACGTAATAGGTAGGTAATGTTCTGAATAGACAGGTCGTCGTGAGATGTGTCTCATCCAGCTGAGGTCCCGCCGTCCCGGGCTATTCGGGCTATTAAGACTACGTTAGAGGTGCGCATACGAAGTGGCTTGGTCTTCAGGTCCTGTCGATTTATACATATTATGTAGAGAATTACGAACTGCCCCTATTATAAACCTCTATTCAGCCAATATTTACTAAAAGTCGTCTCGGCCTTGGTGTACAGTGCAGGACACACTCAAGGAACCTGAAATTGAGGCGATCACAGCTACACGACCACAGCCTCGTATTACCTACCACCACTGACCTTAAGGCTCTACTAGAAACAGCAGTTGACAGTTTGATAGTGCCTACAGAGTGAGAACTAGTCTAGATCACGGAGAAATTGAGCTTCCTCAGTTACATCAAAAGAATATGTGTGTATTATATATAGCTGACTCAGTTTGTTTGCTTAACACCTATGAATGTATTAACATGTTCGTTGCGAAACTCCTTAATGTGGTGTTTATCCTGCACTGTATACAAGGCCTGAGATGACTTCTCAGGAAGTGATGGGCCGTATGGAGCAATGGAGCTGCTGTCAGCGACCCAGAAGGTATTGTGCGACGAGCAGGACTGATATTATGTGAGACACAGGTCGATCCTGTCTGTCGGCTGTCGCTTAAGAAAGTATTGTGATGGTATTCCAAAGATGTCAGAGATAAAGGTCAGTCTATGAAGTCAATACGGTCAATTGATCCTTTCAAGAATCAAAGGAGTCCGACCGACAGATCGCCTGTTTGTCAGAACCCCAGCCCGACCGGCTAATCCGTACGGATGGCTTCACCGGCGGAAACCGTTGGCTGTGAGATCAGAAGTTTAGCCAAGAGTCCAGAACGGCGGTTGTTTGCGTGTTTGTAGTAAATGCTTTTCAATCAAAACTCCAGGAATACGACGGGTTTCCTCTCAGCTATAAGTATATTGCCATTGGTGGTGGTCTCAAATGAAGTCGCTCTCGTGTTTCAGCATCGTTGACACAAACACTCATGCCATCCTTGAGAGAGCGACGCATACATAGGGAAGATAATCTGAAGTAGTGTTAATGAAGTTCATTGGGCTACCTCTAAGTTCTACTTAGTCCTACTCGATGTAGTACTGAACGGACTTTAGTATCATCAACGCTTCCCAACCAGCTTATGAGCTTTCATCACGCTGACAAGCCACGTTCTTCTGTCGGGAATGTTTCATCGGCTGATCGATGTTATTGAAGGGTACGAGTCCTTGTCAATGACAAAGCCCCACAGCCGGCAACTACTTAGGTATTACTGACTGGATTTTCCAGTATGGAGTTCGGGACAAGGGGAGTCGCCAAGGCAAGTGAGTTGATATATTAATTAGCTTCATCCCTTCTTTTCCTGCTCGTGTTCCTTGATAATGGTTTATACGTGTAAGCCGCAGATAATAACAGCTGTCTAGTTTGAGGTCATCACTTTCACACGAACAAAGTGAGGACCCACTTGCATAAGAGGCCCCCAGAAGAGCAGTTCTACCAGAATGTTCAGCCTACAAATTCTCTCCGGTTTTCGTCTCTATTCTTTGCGGGGGAATTCGAAGCCATGTAATGAATACTGTATGTACTCGTTCCAACCCTTACGCAGCGTTTATGCCTTCGCTTGGTGTGTTCCACTAGACGGCAAGGCATGACAACAGTCTAGGTTACAACACTATACATGTACCTCTCTCCCATAATGAGGTTACTGTACTTCTGAGTATGGAATCGTATCAATCGCCGTATATAATACAGTTAACCCCGCCCAAGAACGAGGACCACCCAGGCAGATGCACCGCCTCCTGTCCCATCACAGCGAACAGATAACAACTGTGATTTAAGTGCCTTCTGCTTCCCAAAGCTCCACTGATCTCGCTACATCGATCACACCCGAAAAACGAGGCTGCCAGAATTTCGGTAATGTTTCAATGGCGGAGCCATCAGACAAGCTAAAAGTTGAAGGATCCCAGAACAGCCATGTTACTAACGACGTCGAAGTCGCACTTGGCGGTAATGCCGACGAAGAAAGCTATTCCGTCTTCAGTACAGGGGAGCAGAGACTCGTGACAGCAATAATTGGGCTCTGCATGATTTTCTCCCCCCTGACAGCCAATATCTACTTTCCCGGCCTCGTCCAGATACAGGAGAACCTCAACACTACGCCAGAGTTCATTCAGCTCACCATCACATCGTACTTGGTAGTTCAGGCGATATCGCCGGTCCTCTTCGGTGACGCTGCGGACACATATGGCCGGCGGCCCGTGTTCGTAATCATGTTCTCTGTCTATGTCCTCGCAAATATGGCACTGGCACTACAAAACAGTGCCGCGGCATTGCTCATCCTCAGAATGGTGCAGAGTCTGGGCTGTTCTGCGACGATGGCGATATCATATGGGGTCATTGCAGACGTATCGACGCCCGCTGAACGTGGCACCATGCAGGGACTCGCGATCACAGCTGCTAATCTTGGGCCGGTCCTGGCTCCTGCTATTGGAGGCGCACTAATGAGTCGGGAGGGGTGGCATTCGGTTTTCTGGTTTCTCATGATTGCAGGCGGTGTGGTCCTAATTTTGATCCTTATATTTCTCCCGGAGACGGCAAGAAGCATGGTCGACAACGGGAAGATACTGCCATCGAAATGGAGACGACCTCTGGCGTCCACCATATTCGGCCTTAAGATCCCCAAGGCTGGTCAGCCATCTCAAGGTGAATCCTCAAAAGCGAAACCAGTTCGCATGCTCAATCCTCTACGATCTTTTCGTATTTTGTTATATAAGGATTCGTCTTGGGTCTTGCTAATGGGCGGCATCTTCTATCTGATTTATTACTGCGTCCAGGCATCCATGCCAGATCAGCTTTCGGAGATATATGGCTTTGGGGAGTCCACCATCGGAGCCTGTTATGCTTCCATAGGCGGAGGAGTCATCGTTGGGGGCTTCGCTAACGGTAGGGCGACGATATTGTGACCATTTCATTGATCACTGACACAGCTCAGGCAAATTAATGAACTACAACTATAAGCAGAAGGCTCGAGAAATCGGTCATACTCTCGATTTGGTGAAGGGTGATGATCTGAGGAAGTTCCCGATTGAACAAGCAAGATTAAGATCAATGGTGTTTTTCAACGTTGCACATCTGGCTACTATTGCTGCCTATGGATGGTTCCTTCAGAGAAAGGTGGTGAGTCGCAATAACACTTACAACGATGCGTGCTGGCTAACATTGATGTCTAGCATGTCAGCGGTCCGCTAATTCTTCAATTCCTAGTTGGGTTCTTGGATACGTGCATTGTTCAGGTGAGTTACAGGCAATTCCATCTTAAACAGGACAATGCGCTCACATTGACACTGTTCACAAGACATTCAGCACTCTCTTGGTCGATATATTTCAGGAAACACCGAGCACTGCTGCAGCTGCAGGTAACATCGTGAGATGCGGGCTGGCAGCTGCTAGTATAGCTGCTATGAAGCCATTGATGAACCGAATGGGGTACGGCTGGTATTTCACCATGCTATCAATAGTTGGGTTCGTTATCGGTTCGATTGGGTGTGTTATAGTCCACAAATTCGGCATGAAATGGAGGCTTCAGAGAGGCGAAACGACACAAGACGAAGTTGCAGAGAGGCAATCTGGATAATCTCATTAATCGTGCAGTCAGTAATCTCTTCTCGAGCCGTACATAATTGAGTTAATACCAGTGGAACTCGATTAGGGATGAATCTAGGTGATTTTTTCAATCATGTTCCTAGGCTTCACAGGCTGTTTGTTAGTAGAGGTTGTGCTATAGTAGCCAGTCTTCCTGAGTTTCACCTAGAAAGACCGCCGGTATCTTGCAAGGACGGATTGTCATTGGCAAGATCGTAGGGTTATCAACTCCGCTTTTCGGGCAATCCGGTATTGATAATGTATTTTGGTTTTCTTCCTTACCTTCTAGAAACCTCACAAAAGATAGATGAAGTGACCTGGGACCGACTCTTTTCTTAGTCACCTTGGCAAGCAGAAATTCAATTGAATCACCATACTTTTGAGCACACCCAGCCAAATGACAATTATGAGCCCTGCTGGCGACTCTGGGCTAGTCATGATAGGCGTGGATTGCTGCGACGAAAGATAAGTCATGCTTTCAACCTTGGATCTGGGTCTGGCTTGTCATGAAACGTGTGATGGTCCATCACATTTCTCTCCTTCTCCCGAGACACTGGACCCTGTTGTCTGCCATTCATACATTCCAGCCTCTAGCGACCAATTCCTTGCGCAGTAGTTGGGTTCGCAACTACGGGTGTCGTGTCGTTGGTATCAATACGCGCCGCGCCCAGTCATCGGTTAGGCAGAGAGTTGGCCCAACTGGCGCTGCAAGAGCCTCGAATCAACTTTCCGGATGTCGCATACTCAGTCGAAAATTCAGCCAACTATGACCTTTTACTCACAGTCATTTGAAAACATCGAACATCAAGTCGTTTAGATTGAGTGTGTTAGGTTCGAGGATGCATGAAAAATTGAAGTTTCGGTGTCGGAAAAGAATGTGATGCAGGTAGCGGCGGCAGCTTCTAGATACGGTGGAGATTCCTCGGGACCCTCAATTTTCTTCATCTCAGAAACATCGAATTGACCCTTCATCATCACACTTCTTACGCCAAAATCTCTGTTGGTTTGATAACCACACAAGTGTCATACTTAATAAACTGCTTATACGAATTACAGAATTTCCTAACCCTTTCAACTCGTCGTAATTCCCACACATCATCTCTCACGATGCCGCTCGGGACTATTAGCCTCGTTCGGAAGTCAGCCTAACATCCAATTGGACGGCTTGGTGGTCTAGCGGTATGATTCTCGCTTAGGGTTCACCCGAAAGCAACAAATATGCGAGAGGTCCCGGGTTCAATCCCCGGCCAAGCCCTGTGATTCCTCTGATCTTCCCCCAAGATCATTGGAAACGTCTTCGTGGCTCAGTTGGCTAGAGCGTTGGTCTCATATTCGTATGATCCAATCCCAGGTTGGGTAATCCAAAGGTCGTGAGTTCGAGCCTCACCGAGGACAATCTTTTTTTTCGTCTTGTTCCGTCTCGAGGCGAAAAAGATGATTTATGCACGCAAGGAGTCGAGATGCCGACTCTCGTCAATGATGCGCTTGAGCAAGATGCTATTTTTTGATATTTGCGGAGTTTGGTTGCGTGGGAGGCCCGCTCATATAAACGCCCTCTGGATGGATTGAATATGCACGCACGAAGTAATTTGCGGTTTTACTACACAGTAGCTAAGAATGGATTATGCCATATCATCCTGTCTCTTTAGGTCCTCTTTGAGTGAGTTGCAAACCTCGCTTGCGCAAAACAAGTCTTCATGTTCTTACAGGCTAGGTCCCAGTCTGTTGACCATTCCCGATAGAAGGGCTGATACCCGAAGAAGCTCCCAACCCATCTGCCGACTAAGACACCGATCATTTGTGACAAACGCTTCCCACAGGGTATCCAGGACGGAGGAGACAAGTACGTTCCACCAGCGTCGAGAGTCTAAGGGCAAGAGACCATCAGCCAACTCTACTCAGACTGATGAAAAGGCTTCGCTTTCGGGGAGATCATGACTTACGCTCAATACCTGAATGATATCGAAGCTCTTTTGGGATTTTACCACGTTATCTTGATACCTGTACCAATTCTCGAAAAACAACAGATTGAGTTGAAATGGCTCGGCCGTCTTTGTGCCCGATAAGAGGAATTTGACTTTACTGGTGCTGTTCCGACGTGATACCGAAAAGTTGTATGGGCGATGATTCTCCCACGCCTTAATGCATAATTCCGGGTCACCTGGCCTGAGAACGATCTCACGACCATTAACCTCCACCTCTGTTTCTCCCTCAATAGCCTCTATGTATTCGTCTTGATTCACATGAAAATGCAACGGAGGCTTGTGAGAGCAGAAATCGGCGCCTTTCTCCAGGTCAAGAGTGACTTCGAAAGCGAAGGCCCGATCTGGATGGTAAATAACCCTGGAACGTACTGCGCCCCCGAGACTGTTGACTGTCAGTAAGTGGGAGAGACTCGTCCGTCTTTCTTACTGCTACTCACACTTCTACCACCTGGTCATAGTCGGAATACTCCATCTCGAGTAAAATCGGGTGAGCGGTATTAATCAATGAATCACCCTTATTGAATCTTGGAGTACGCCGGTAGGTCCACTACGAATACAATGAGAGATAAAGTCGAGAGCCAAATAGACAGTGCAAAGCCTTCGAAAATACGAGGCAGCACCCGATTTGAAGAGATGTCCATTGCAGAATGCCTAAGCCGCGCCATGTTAGAACGTTCAGGACTCGCTTTTTAATATCTGATTTGAGACAAGATATGTGTCAGCCTGTCAGGTAATTGTCATAATATCGATCATGAACGATCGAGCGAGGACCATAATATTTGACTGATCACGCCACCTTTTGGCTCAACAGTTTGCTAATTCGTTGGATTGACAATAACGAAGAATTGAAGATAATGACACCCCTTACAAGTTACTGCCCTGTCTCTGTGCTCGTTCATGAAGCAACAACACGATAATCCAATCCAGCTCAGCCGTGCACTTCGCTACTAATATCGTGACTAATATTAATAGCTGGGTCAAAGGGACTCAGCAAACCCACGACGCTAATTCAAGGAGTGACTGGCATTTAGCCTGTGACCCGCGTAAGTACTAACTAGAGGACAGCTTGGATATATTCAATTCAGGCGGAAAAAGACGGAGTTTACGCACTTCCTCAGAGCGGAAGATATATCTCAGCACCAAAGATACGGCTCCTAGGCTTTCGATTGTGGATCATTGGACGCCACAAAACGAATAATCGAATCGAATTCGATTATTGTACTAATCCCTGGACTCGATCCCTTGCATAGTCGCTAGTCTCTTTATTGTCAGATATTATCAGACCACCGGCTCTCTGATATAGAGAAGCAAACTACGGATCCGTACGCCGCTTCTAAATAGTTCGTTTTGCTCTCTCTTCTTTTGTGTAATATCGATTGTCTGACTTCTTCAACCGGAGTGACAAGCAGTCCGTGCGGCGATGCTATTTGTTTCATACTACTGCACACTGCATTATGAACAGGTCAAGAAATGAAATGCGTAGGCGCATGGCTTGATAGATAGAAGCTTACCTTTCGCCAACATATGAGAAAACGAACGGTAGCGGCTTTCAATGTGGCCGCGAAATTCATTCTGTAGTAGTAATGATACGGTTGCATCGAAATCCGTACGGAAAGCGATCGTCGGCCGAAACCAGCAGTTTTATCCCGAAATTACCACACGGAGCTGAAGCTTGGCACCCGTACAAAAATATCTGATTGAACCATCTAGCCGGGTGCGGTCCCAAATAATAACGAGGCGAGTACCAGGGCACAAGGACATCGAAGATGTGAACCCGGTAACCGGGTCTGCGCACTGAAAACCACGACGAACCATCCTTACTATTTGCGAGCACAACGCCCAGTGTGAGCGCAGAGAACCGCTCCAACGAGCGGTCTGACAGGGACAAACCCTTCGGCTCAACCAGACAACGAGGTGCCGTAGTAACTGCTGACCCGCTGAACCTGCCATGCGTCTCACCCTGCATAGGTTGCGTGCGTAACCGGACGCCCTATATGTAAACGCAACGTAACAGCGGGTCGTCAGCGGTAGATGTTGCATTTCGCTACCGATAGGCCGGATGAAGCAAGCCATATGTAACTCAGCCAAAAAGCCACACGAACATAGTGAGCACTAATACCGCAAAAAGTTGATTCATCGCAGAACGAGGAAAGAAGAAATAACTACTACTATGTATGTACACTATGTACCCCTATCTCTGAAGTTTTTTTTTTTTTAATAGCGCAGAATGTACTCGGTCAATAATCCAGACGTTATAGCAACGCCTACAAACCAGAAACCGCGTGAGAACCACCACCAACAACTCATCTGGTCCTCGAGCTTAACGCGTGAAACCATGACTATCAGCGACAATAAAGATCCCAGCACCGCAATAACATAATAATCAACCCCGAGCCTCACAAGCCATCCATACGCAACAAGCGCAGCGCCCTCCAGAGCAACAACAACCCAGAGTACATTCTTAGTACGTTGCCCAAAGAGGACGGGGGTGCTCTTGACACCGATAAGCAGATCGTCCTTGATATCCTGACAAGCGTAAATCGTATCGTAGATCACCGTCCAAAACGTCGTGATGATAACAAGGCATAATGCCCCACGATCCTTCCAGGGGTTCAAGGTGCCTAGTGCGGCACTTCCCACAATCACACCCCACGCAAGACAAAACCCCAGCACCACATGCGGGAAATAAGTGTGTCGCTTGGACCACGGGTAATACGTAGTCCCCACGATTGTGGGCACAGTCGCAAGCACGGCGTCCGCAGGAAGCCAGAAGAGGAAGGTAGCAGCGGCGACGGCCTGCGAGATGGCGAAAGCCAGGGCGCTCCGGGATGAGATTGCCCCCCTAGCGATGGGGCGGTTCTTCGATCGCGCTACGAGCCGGTCGATCGGTGCGTCTATGATGTCGTTCCATGCATGGGCGGCGTTGGAGAAGAAGAGGGAGCCGCCTAGTAGTTTTAGGCTGGTGATTGCGACTCGCCACCAGGGGTGTCGGTGGACGAGTGCCGAGTGCAGCACACCGAAGAGGTGAGGGAAGTAGATTAGGAAGACTGCTGTGGGCGGACTTAGACGGGCTAGTTGGATGTAGGGAATCACGGACTCGGGGAGATGTTCTACCCATGTGCCGGAATGAAGACCGCCGTATTGCAGCGATAGAGCTGATTTTTCAAGGCTCGTCTTCCCGGAAGATGTCGCTTTTTCTGTATTTTCAGACATGGTTGATCTGAGTCTGGGTAGATACTTCAAGCACTAAATACTAAATGATTTACAAAAAGGCCGCTGATGAAATCGTACAGTCCAGCTTCAATGGGTGAGGCCATTAGAAATTGTGAATATTGGCTTGGCTTACATTTCTCGGGTCAAGCACAGGTATATATATATATATATATTTATAAATATATATTGCTTTTCTAGCACGCTCTCTCTGACCGGGAACTGGGTTGAATTGACGAGCACACCGAAAGCACCGGGGCCTCGAAGGGGTGCAACTGCAACCCTTTCTGGCAAAATGTATGGTAGTCAAGGTTACAAGCTCTAGAAAAAGTCGGTCTTGAAACAGAGTGTTCGGCGAACAGGGCTTGTTCAAATGGCGGGGACGGCGAGAAATGCCAATCTGTGCCTCTCGAGGGAGCGCGGCGTGTAACATGATGCAAGCATGTTTAGATGTCAATATGAGGCCTTTACAACATAGACGGCTTTTTACGCCGTATGTCAGTCATCGATTTGGATATTACACGTCACATTGGCTCCGTAGCCTGCCTCAGGGTCATCCAGCCGACGGCGTAGGCATGCCTGAGGCACAATCTATAATCCTCATTGTCACCGTCATTATTATGGCCATCATCATCCCTCGGGTCTTCCCGTATGGAAAACGGTCAACTAGGTGCGCCGTATATAATACAGCACGAGTAACGCCATATACACGCAGACTATCGTAATCGGCTGTGCACCATATACTGACCCCATCTATTAATAGCGTCACCGACACACCGGGAGGGAATTTCGGGCCAGATCTCCTATCGGTAAATCTGCGTCGCAAATATTACACCGGGTGAGTAGCTGGTTCACTTTTAGAACATTATCTCTCCGGGTACCGAACTCGGGTATTGAATCATTTGCCACCGATTATTAATGCTGTTATATTGGATTTGGGTCATTGGATCTGGATTGCTGGATGGAGGTCACCTAATCAATCAATCGGGCTGCATGGGTAACCACCAGCGCGGGCGCGCTCCTCAGTCATCCGGAGGCTCGGGACGCCAATCACAGCGTA